TGTGCGTGAGAGAGAGAGAGAGAAAGAGAGGGTCGGAATGAGTGTGTGTGTGTGTGTCTGTGTGTGTGTGACAAAGAGAGAGAGGCACAGAGAACGAGTGCCTGAGCGGCTATTATGCACGTCTGTACGTCTCCAGTCTTGTGCAAAGCGCACCGAGTATTCTCAGCGGGCGACAGGTGCATCTCTCTCCTGCCGTGGTTTTTTCTTTCTTTCTTTCCCCCTGTTTTCTCACGACCAACTGGGGGGAAGGTTCCTTTGAGTTGTTTCTAATTAGCGCGAGTTAGTTAGAGCTGTCCAAAGCACTGGTTTTCCTTCACTCCACATGCGCACGGCTTGTTAAAGTGGATGAATATATTCACAGTATTATGAACCTCTTCTCCCCCTCTCCCCCCCCATACACCACCACCATCACCTCTCTCATCTCTTCTGCCGTTCGGCTCCATCACCGGCCCCTCCCCTTTACCACGCCTGTCTCAATCGCCTCTCAGTATGGTATGACACAAGCAGATCGATGAATACCCATGGAGCAACGCGTGAGTAACGGGTGGGCCAGGCGTTATTCCGCAGCAGCCAACCAATGGCAGGGGACGCAATTAGTGGCCAGTCGGCTTGCCCTGCTTGTTTTCTTTATCTCTCCACTCCTCTCCCTGCAGGTGACACTCCAGAGCTCCTCTGCCCTCCTGAGGATTCAGTGAGACAGGCGGATCTGTGCGCCTGACCATGGCCTTCCCATCAGCCCCCTCTGCATTATGGAGTGTCAGCTTATTGACAGCTCTATTCGCTGCTGTGGTTCACAGCAACATTGTCTATGGTAAGCACTCTTTATCTATCCGCTTCCTATTCTTTCTATCTCGCAGTCTGTCCCTGGGCCCCTGACCTCCCCGACCCTCTCTTTCTGTCTCTGGAGGTGCCCCATATCTGTTGACTTGAGGCTTTTTCCTTGTTTCCTGTATTATGACAAGGGAATCAGAGAGCCGTTAATAAGCACATGGGACGCTCCCACCTCCCCGGACCCCGGTGGAATTTCTGCTGCTGTTTTTGAGGAATGTGTGTGACTTGCACGTGGGCGCAGGACTCCACTCACATGCATACTACAGGTCCTCGCTGATGGTAGCTCGCTTTCCCTGTGGCTTCCTTTTTTTCCCCCTTTCTCTCTCCCTACCTGTCTCTTGCATACACTCACATGAAAGCAGACGAGCACTCAAACAGCATTCTTTCTTTTATGTTCACCTGCTCAGCATCTTGCTGTCTGTCTTACATGTTTGCTGACTATATCTGTGTCAGAGGTTCATGCAACCTGGAGATAAGCAGTAATCATCTTGTACTTAATCAAGTAGCAACCCGGCAGTGTGCACAGCTACCACACACATAGAGTAGAGACACATGCCACTCGTCATGGCCACAGCTCAACTTGTGATGAGCTGGGTGCGGCTGAAAGCGGATGGTAAGAGAGGATTTGATGAGGGTAGCACTTTGTAATGATATCATCCCTGCTGTGAGCACCGAGTGAACAGGAATATACTGTCCAGCGTGCTTTTCCAATTACATAACACTCAAGTGACTGGCTTCTGGTAATACAACCTTTAGAGGGCAAACAGTGCCGGTGGCGAAACGGCACATCATGATTGTCCCTCAATCCATAGAAAATTGATTGACACAGGTAGACTCCTGTTGGCATTTTCCCATTACAGTGAGGATTTAATTGCACTGAGTGTTTGGCAAAGAAGCGTAAGACGATATAGCAGGCAAGAAGGCTTCTAATAGACGTTCCCTTATTTGCATTTGCAATATATATTCTCTGAGGCCCCTTGTGCTCACTTGTGCACACCCACACAAATTCACAAATCTGAATACATCATGTTGAATGCACATGCATGCACACAGATATGCCAGTGCACGCACCACTTTTACTTTACTTCCACTTCGTTTATCCATGTCAGCTGTTTTTATTTTCTCTTGAATTATGCATTCTTTTGTTTCTTCCCATTTGTGTATGAAATGTAGGGAAGTGGAGGATTGTCAGTGTGAGCTCACAGTGGTCAGTGCAGTAGAACGTGAGAAATAATCCGGCTGTGGCAAGGACCCGTGATGAGGTCACTGCTAAACAAATGCAAATGTAGGCCTGTCAAGGCCCCCGAAAGCTGTTGAAGATGAGAAACGCACAAACAATCTCCAGATTGAGGCGCTGATGATGAAATATCAATCTCTCGTCAGAGTGCTGACCCTGACCGTGTAGCTCGTCATTGAAGCCCAGGCAGTGGTTCGTTATTTGGGTCCGAAAATGATTTTGGCTTGCATTCAGACGCACGTCACATTTGATTAAGGTGTGTCTAGCAGGAGGCCTGACCACGCATGACCAATTCCTGCTTTGGTTTCACCTAAGCGCTGTTTTACATTATCATGTCAGTCAAGGAGAGTAATTAAGCCTGGGACGTCTGACAGTGTTTAGGAGATGAGAAAACACGTCAAAGAGTGCAATTGAGAGGAGAAAGGAAACAGGGATGGAGTGCTGGCTTAACAGTTTCATAGTGCTTTTTGTAAACCATTAAGTTGTACTCACGGTCTTATCATCATCTATTTTTGCTTTCGAAGTATAATCAAATACTAATATCAACTACGCTGAAACAAAACTAATAACATTTCTGCTGTGAAATCAGTAAGAATCACATTTGAACAAGTTTGGAATTATAATTGTTATGCTACTTAGGAAGGCATTACTCAGAATAAGAATGCATATTTTTTTTTCCATCAACGTAGTACAGGAATTTGTCTTAGTGGCATTAGTGCAGAAATTGCTGACAATTTATAGACTCTCTCACTGGCAAACACAGAGCTCAGCTCTTATGGAACCTCACATACAATACAGAGGAATGGTGCCAAAACTCAACAAACAGGAAGCTATACATATTATATAATTCTTGTGTTAATTCTTCTATAGTTTCCAGACATTTGAGCAATGTGGCAAACAGTGGTGTTCAGTGTCAGCAGTAAATATGTGTAAGCGGCAGAGCACTGGTCCATCGCTCACATCTGCTCTGATCTGTCCGATTGTTGTTGTTGTGACACAGCAGCAGAGCTGTTAAGTAGAAGATGGAGTAGGGCGGGGCAGGCAGTCAGATAATGCCGTCATAATGGAGATCTCCATGCTAAGAGGCCCTGGAACAGAAGGGTCTACTTAGCATAAATAATTCAATGTTATGTATCAGAGAGGAAAAACGATTAGCTCAGCAAATCAATGCAGGAGCAGATGAGCCATCAGACTGCATCTGACTGCCCATCACTGCTACACTCACAGTCTGCGGTGAATTAAAAACATGCAGACTCTTTGTTCCTTTTCATCATTTTAACAAGGAAAGAGAGAAAAAAAGAGCTTCCCTCATGAGTTTTGGGGTTGATGATCATACAGCAACCAACAGGCTGCATGTCACAACAGTTTAAATTCCTGGCCAGCCCTGGACGACCCAGCTCTCCCACTTACACTGCCCCATCTTCATTTGATGCATGTCAAAGTCAGGGAAAGGACTGCACTGACTCTGTTTTTTCTGGATTTATCTGTGACCAGGCTTCCTTAGAGCAAGTGAACGAATCGGGGAGACACTAATTGCGCGCCATTTGACATATCCATTTCCACAGCTGGATGTGCAGCCATGCGCTTCGGATGGAAAGTGCCTCTCAGAAGGGCACAGATTAGGCATGCAATTGGCCGGCTGTGCCCTGGTTCTGTACTGCTGACCCAGTTACCTCGGGGATGCTGTGGAGTGTGGAGGGTCCATCCGCTGGAGCACTCAACAAACAGCATGTAGAGCAGCGCACTGCGTCCTCCCATCAGCCACCTGGCCCTCAACTCCACGGCAGCCTGATCTCAGACCCCAGGAGAATGTTTGCATTCGTGACAAGAAACATGCCTAATAGTTTATTTACCTCGACGAGTTCTGCTGGTCGGAACAAGTGAATGAAGCCCTAATGCTTCCAGCTGAGACCAATAATGAATAAGGATTAAAGGATGGGAGCAGTGTGGACCAATCGTTAGTGTGGTAAGATTTATAGGCGGGAGGGCCCCGCATGTGTGTGTCTCTGCCAGCGGTTCACTTTATCCTGCCACAAAATGGGCTCCTTCCCCCCTGGACCAGCTCTTTCTTGCTGGCTCAATGCCTACTTCCTGTGTGTGCTGCTGTTGTTTACTGTTGACTTCCTGTGTGCCAAGATGGGGGAACATTTGGCTAATACACAGTACGGCTAGCACACAATAGCAGTAGGCGGTTTGGATGCGAGGCCTCTGCCTGTTAACAAGGCTGACTGATAAGCAGTGACTCATTAACAAGCTGAGGTACACAGAGCCTGGGGGAATTACCGCCTAGCCACTGTGACATTAATAAGAGGCCTAAGCTATTTTTCCATTTGGCTCCGCTGGCGCCGGCCTAAACCAGTGGTTTTCAATCTCGACCCTGGCTATTTACTGGGTCCAGTGCTTTTCCATTTGTTTCAGCCACTGGTTACCTGGTCTGATTGGAATTGGGCAGATCTGTATTGTCAGTGTAGGCTGCAGTTAATGACATCTGCTGCTTCAATGGAAACCAGACACCCCTCATTAGTTTTCTGCAGATTCATTCCTAAACATCTGGGGAGGAGTCTAATTAATTCTTCTCTTGCTGATCATGCCAATTAATTAGCAATATGTTTGTTTTTTAAAGAAAAAAAGGTAGTGACATGTTCCAACTCATATCCTAGATGTCAATCAATGAGACTGATGATGATTCTGACACTATATAGATCCAATTAGGCATCTAAAATACACTCAGTACAAAGAGCTCCTAGCAACTGTGTCCTATCAGAATTTTAAATCCAAAGCCATATTATTCCCATTGTCTTGTATGTTTATTTTTCTCTGATCCTTTAAGTGTTTTGTCGTTCAGATCAGTTTTGTGATTATAAATTGGATCCTGATTGGCTGGCATTAGTTTGCAACAGATTCACATCTGGCAGAAAACCAATTATTTCTCCTGTTCATCATGCCGATTAATTAAGGCACTGTGGCTGATTGATTAAACTCCCAACAAAGCTCTAACCATGAGCACTAGAGCCCTCGGGATGATTTGCATCACACATTATGCACATTGCTGTGTCTTCATGTTATCTTCATATAGCTCCTCAGACATCCTGGAACATTGCACATGCATCAGTGACAGGAAGAGAAACTCACAGCTCAACAAGACCCAAGTGCTGACAAGAAATTTGTGGTTAAATTAAGCAGAATTAAGATGCAGTGGCGTGCCGGTATCATTGGATCTTAAAGGTTTTAAGAGCACCCATACAAGACTACATTAGACCTCATCAATCTGAGGCAGATCTCATCCACCCAGGCCCACTCACGCAATGTGAGATTACATCAGAACAGATCAATCTCTCTTGCTAGCATCATAATAACTGCAAATGCCATTTAGAAATTGAAAGAGAGAAGTGCTCTTGAGATTTTGCAAAGCAGTAACACACTCAGCTTCCTCTCAGGTGCTCTTAAAAGACACATCAGTCGGCAGTGACTCAGGGTCGAGAAAATTAGGGGTCCAGCCTTCGCAGAGCTGTCAGCCTTTAACTATCACTTCACAAAGACACCGCAGATTAACAAACCTAACAACAATAACAACGTCAGCCTTGGAATAAATTAATTTACCTCGTTTCTGAAAACACCATCCCTTGTTATTGCGCTCCGCACTCAACTGGCTTTTCCTTTGATCAGGTCCCGCGCTCACTCTCACCACCTCCAACCCTTACCCCCTTTTTTTCCCTGTTACCTGCAGGGATTCGTTGATGGGG